GGCAGGCCAGGTATTTTCAAAAGTTATTTTCAGGAACTTATAGTTAATTGGCCTAATACTGGCAAACTAAATAATGTGCAAGAGCAAATAACACAAATGGGAGCCTTAAACATAGAGATTTGAAGTTCAATTTGCATAAATATCTCACCCTGCATCACCTGGGGATTTGCATTCCTGCAGGGAGGACACCGGAGCAGGAGTACTGGGAGCAGGCTCCTGCAACACACACCAGCATAGCACTGCAGGGACTAACATCAGTTTTCATCCTGGCTCTCTGCTGTCACACCAAAGGCATTTTACTCTGGAGGTTAGTCAGCTCACCCTACACATTCCCTGCTAATTTTGGCATCTACTGACCAGGCAGAAAGCGTTCTCCACCAGGAAAAGGAGAAATAGACATTTGCTTTCCAGGACAGCAGGTTGGTCTTTACTTCTCCTTGCCTGATTTCCAGACTGAGTAACGCAACATTGCCTGTGGGAGTGAGGAGTGCCAGCAGGTTGTGACAACAGGTCATTGCACACACTCTGCTGAAACCTTCCTTACACAGGGTAATTTTTCCAGGTATCAGTCACCACTGGTATGTTATTATCTGCTGCCACCAAGGACAAAAGCTCATTGCATTCTTTGAGGATAGCTTTTAACTCATAACAAGTATAGGTTTGGTTTGGCTTCTTGTGGCTTATTTCTGAGTTGGGTATACTTACACTGCCTATGCATTTATACAGCTGCCCTTACTGCTAAAATAAATACCTTTCCATTGCAACAGTATGAGCACCATCACTCCCATAAAACAGGTATTTTAAATCCCTAAAGGCTTCACTGAGAAAAGCCCTCTGTGTACCCATGCACTTTCCTCAAGGTGTCATTTTCAAATGCCTGTACAATCTTAATTTCTGAAAGGTGGCAGAGTGAATTAAATGTAACTGTACTGTCACAAAAAAAGGACAAATGCAAGTAGAACTGAGATTGCACAACCACATGGTGATCTTGTCACAGAATTCCTGAGGCACCAAATGCTTATTATCTCACTCAAGAGACATTCACTGCAGTGTCCCAAGCCTTCCTTACACTGCACTAGGTGTCTTTGCATTAGGCTCAGTATTAGCCAATTATTTATAAAAACTTTGTGAATACTGGCTTTTCTTCTCAATAACCCTGAGCTGAGCAGATAACCTTACCCATTTCTCAGTGAGTCTGTGAAGCAGAGGATGATAAAGGCCAAAACTGTTGAGAATATGCTGATTTTAACATTTCCAACCAGAAAATCAAGCATCTCACTGCCAGTGAATTTTGCGCTTCATAGAGGATTTTCCCATCCAAAACAGACATCCCAGGGACTGCAGTGCTTTGTGTGAGTACCCAGCATCTCTGCTACAAGGGTTCAAATATGGACATTTAGAAACAATTTCATTTTGAGACAATTGCCTGGGATTTTACAATTGTAGTTGCATAACAGCAAATAGACACCATATTCAAAATATTAAAAACAGATCTTCTAACTCAACTCTTCCCATTGTGAAAACAGAGTAATGATACAGATTTGAAAGGTTTTCCTTCATACTGGGCAGTGTGCTCTAGCCATGCTATCAGCCCTCACTTTCCATGAATTTATGTCCATCTCTACACTCTACCACCCTGTTTTCCCCATGGAGATAGCAACAGGAGTCCCAGTAGGCAGGACAGAAAGCTGAAAGCTGTCGATGCACACATTGTTTTATAACAATAATGTAAACAGCTCTTTGTAGCTTATTTTGGAAAACAAGATGAAAGTCTGACCTCAGCAAGTTAAATTTACTTTTGCATCTTCTAAAGTACAAAAACAGATCTCCCAGAAGTGCTTTGGCATGAATGAGGTTTTTTTTAATGAGTTTTGTTCCCCTGAGATGAATATCTCATTTTAAAAATAAATATAAGTAAAGCCAGAAAAACAAATCATTATTATAACATGACAGGAAAAGAAAACATGGCTCTATGGTATGAAGAACATGCAAAGTTGCTCTGAAAAAAAAAAGTTACCAAATCAAGGAAGATTAAATAGTTTTCTGGAGGTGAGAGAACACTTAAGAGTGGTTACATAAGTCAGCACTAAGGTCCCTCTATAACCCAGTACCTTCACTCCTTAGCACTAGCCCAGATCAGAGTGTGAGAACATATACTTCTGCCAATATTCTCCCTGTCTCCAGGCCTTTTCAGGAATTTCTTGGCCAGATGTGGCTTCTTCAGTATTAGTAGCCCTTCACAGAGTTCCATAAACTTGTCTGGTCTCCTCCTGAGCCACAAGAACTTCCAGCAGTCACTACATCCTTTAGGCAAAGTGTCTAACCACTCAATTACCCATACTATGAAAATCCACTTTACTATTTATTGCTTTTAGCCTGGCTCTTGCTAGCTTCATTTGGTGTTGCATAGTTTTTGTTGAAAAGAACTTAATCCCTGCTTATCATTTCCACACCATTCACATCTATAACCTTTATGAAGTTCTCCTCTGCTCCCACCTCTTCCCTAATTCCTGTCTACAAATCTGTCCTTCCCATTCCAGAGCCATGGGCAGGTATAACATGGTGTCTCTCCAGCACAGCAAGGCTTGGTCAGGCAGGTTCTATACCTGGCATGGCAGGTGTTTCTTTTTCATTATCAACCAGCCCTTTAAAGGATATAAGCGTTTATGAGCAGTGCCTTGTCCTAATTGCATTATTCCATTAGCTCAAGGAACAGAGCTTTATCTCAGTAATCGAGGCAGCAGCAGTAGCCTGAGCTTCGTGAAGGATTACTGCCTTGAGCCCTGGGAGGAGCAGGCTGCGTCTGTCAGCTCATGTCCTCTTCTGCATGTCCAACCCCCACAACCAAAGCCAATCACAATAAGCCCCCTCTTCTTACAGCATCCTGATAATTGATTTCCTACAGCTGCTCCTGGGTCTTGTTCCAACCCTAAACATTCCCAAATACTCTGAGAAATTCCAAGGTCTTTTCCAAGTTTTGGGCCCAGCCTTGTTTTTGCCCTCATAGCATTCCTCATGGCCAAGCTTCCAGCACAGCATTCATCTACGTGAACGTAGTGTCTGTGTGCATTCATTCAGCACTCCTCTCACTGTGGTACACATCCACTCAGTAGCATCTCTGGAGCATTTCTTCACTGAAAGGAGCCAGAACAGCTGAGAGGAAACCACAGAGTACCTACTTTTTCCTATTGACTATACAAGGGTGGAAGATGAGTAACTCAGGTACAAACCTTTACTCTCTAGACTTCTGAAGTTAGACATCTCTTGACATCAAAAAAGGATTATACATGCTGCTAAAATAATGGAATTTTTTTTCCTAGATAAAAGGATATATTAATTTAACAAACACAAATTTTAACAATTCCTACACACTGAATTTCAAAGTTTGTTATTAAATGCAAAACTGTTTATGTTTATAAACAGTCTACTCAATAAAACAAAACCTAAATAATTAAAGGAAAGGCTTTTGCTTTCAATAGAGATTTAGAAAATAATTGAGTTCTCTAAAATAACTGCAACTATTCTGCAGCCCATTTAGAAAGACACAAACAAGGGTAATTTTATTTAAGACAACGAATCTAATTTCTTTTTGATCTTGCATGTAGTATCTGCAAAGGACAAAGAACAAAGGTCCTCAGAGCCCTTTGGTCGTGCTTCCACAGCATCTCACTCAAAAAATATTAGAAATGGTAGAGGTCTAGTTCACTCAGCTCTGCCAAATGCCTCTCTTGAGTTGCATTCTTATTGTTTGTTACATTCTAGGTCTAAGTATCCAAAATGTTGGAATGCTGTTGTATAGCTAAAAATCATAGTAAGGAAGGTTTTCCTCATGTTCAGCTTGAAATATCTTTCAGTTCACCCAACCATCCCTTATTGTAGCTGTTTTATGTCCCCAGATTGTTTATGTGTTGTTTATGCTCCCCCCACCTCCTCCTTGTTCATATTTATCATTCAAATATTTTTAAATCAAATGATATCACTCAAAACCCTGAGGTGCTCAAGGAGACTCTACAGTCCTACAGCTCTTCTACCAAGTAGGTCAGGGCTCAGGGACCAGCCCCTCATGCTCTTGTAGCTGACAGTTACAGCAGCAGAGCTATGAGGAGCTCTTCCAGGCAAGGCTGCACCAAAGGAGAAATCCAACCCACAGTTAAGCTCACAGGGAGTGAGCTTTGGCTCACATTAATGGTATGTTATCAGTGGTTCCAAAACCAGGATGGGCTTGGGTACTGCCATAGACTTTTCATCCACAGTAAGAACTAACATATTCATTGCCTGGGGTTTTTGCATGCTGGCAGCAGATCCAAAAGGCCAAGCCTGACTTATTGCCACCTTCTTCAGCTGGGCAGCCACCATGGCTTCCTTCTGCTCCTGGAAATATCCAGAGGAGTAAAGACACTCAGGGATTGTCACCATGCTCCAAGACACCAGCAGGTATGTGGCAGAGCAAGGTCATTCATTATTGCAGTAATTATGTACTTAGATGGTTCTTATCAAATCTTCATTATTTGCCTAACAAGTTTCAGATTAAAGCCTGGAGTCCAAATTGTCTCCTCTACCTATCCATTTCCTTTTGGGAAAGAGAATGCACATGAACCTGGCCTGTCAAATCTAATGGTATTAATTCTGCCATTCAGCTTCATTCTATTTTCCCTTTAGCTTCTCTCACCTAGGATTTCATATTCTCATGCAATTTTATGCATGTTTATTTCATTACACTATATTTCATCTTCTGTGTATAATCACTGGCCTCAGCCCCATAAACTAGATGCAATTTACACAAAATTAAAGTAATTCCTCACCTTTAAGGATCCATAGAGCACAGTGGAGAGTAACATTAATGGGAACATCCTGAAATGTAAACTATGTCGTTCCATCCCACCATGTATTCTCAGACAGCTTCATACAACTACAGCAATTCAGTCTCCCACTGTGGAACCTACAGTTACTAATGCTACCTGAGAAGGGATGCAGGTGCCTTTGAATTGCTGCTAAAGAAAGAAGCCAGAAAAGAAGGTTGTATTCCTAAGGACTTCTCAATCTATTTCTAAAACTTTGTAGTAATGCTAGCTAGACTCTGGTGAAAATGCACATACTGATGTCTCTTGGTAGTGCTAAAAGCGTGTGTGCACAGGAGGCCAGTGCAAGCAAGCAAGACACCCAAGAGAGAATGTTAATCCTGTGGAACCCATAGAGATTCCAGAGACACGGGTGCAATTGTAGATGACAAATGATATTTGGGTGGAAAGGCCAAGAAATTAATCTCATGAAGGTTAGGAAGAAATGAGCATGAGGTTTCATAATAATCTGACAGGCACAAAGACTGGGCAGTGTGACTGGAGAGGGGTAGTGATGAGAGCTGGAAGTTAGCTGGGCTCAGCCGTGGAAGGAGAAAGGGGCCAATAGACTCATGGTCAGCTTCTCCACAGAGACCTGTAAGCAGTCCTGGGATATTTGCTTTGTTACAGCTTCCATCTAATATCAAAGCAAGCATCCAACTAGAACAGGCTGTTCTCTTGCCAGTTCCCTGTGGCACCCCAGTCTAAGACTTCGCTGGTTTCGTGTGTGTGTGTATTTTTGTTTTAATAATCATATAAGAGGATTTCAGACATTTTTCCCCTGGTGCTTTCACTCCATTTAGCATTGTGAAAATCTCCTCCGCTTTGTAGTTTAGCTCTGCCTAGGGTTTGTGTTTTGCACGCTCTGATTGAATGAGGGCACTAATCCAACAATGGGGTTGCCCGTTAAAATTTGTTCAACCTTTGCTTCAAGTTATAAAAGAAAAAAATAATCTCTGCTTCTCACAGAGATGGAGATTGACTTTATTAGGTCAAGGTTTACTCAAAATTAAAATATTGAACTATATTATCAAGCTAAACCCAATAGTGACAAAAATTGTGATTCTGAAATTTCACACACAGAGGCACCTTACTTTTTTTGATTTCCAGACGTTCCAGATAGGTGATGTCTCACCTCTATGCATGCCCAGAACTGCCTCAGTCTCAGCAGGGCCAAACAGCTCAGCACTGCAGCCTGAGCAGGCTCCAGAACCTCATGTCCCCTAAGGGGCTCTGTCTGAAGGGTGTTTTCAGAACACACAACAAGATTAGGCGCCCCATGAAGTGCACTGATGGCAGATACTTCCTTTTCAAATAGAGCCAAAGGAAGCCAGCAACCTTCTCACCTATCCCTTCTATTTAATAGCCTGGGGATGAGAATGCACACCCAGGAAGGAGAAGACCCAGGCTCAGTTCCCTACACTGAGCCTGAGGTAATCCAAAGCAGCCTCTTAGGGGCACCTTGCTAAAGGTTCACCTGAGAGCGAGGCCTCTCCAATCTTGCTACTGAAGCTGCCAAACACAAGGGAATTCGGGATCCCACCAGGCCAGACTGGAAGCACACTCTCATGTCCTGGCTACCTGGGGCAAATTTTGGCTTCTGCTCCCAGATGAGTCCTCACATTTCTTCAGATCCACAGCACTGCCCACCACGCTGAGGCATCTGTGAAGACAAGTATTCTGTAATATAAAAGGTTAAAATATCTAAATCTTCTTACTATTGGGTTGCCCTATATATTCCAACCAGATTACTATATCCAGGCATCTAAAAATCCTTTCTTATTATTTATTTCTGCCACAAAAAATAGGAAAAAAACCACAAACCCATTAAGACTTTGGGAAAAAAACCCCAGCAAACAGCTTTCAGACAGAAATCTCAAAACAGTAAGGAGGCACTAAGTGGTGCAGGAGCAGCCTTTAAATAACAGGATTTATTATACCCTTTTTCTACTGTCACACCTCCCCCCCTTCCCAATTAGCTGCAGCCCGTTTCAAATGGTAAGACAAGTATAGATTTTTGGCTCCATTCCCAACCTGTTTCTCTGCTTCAGGGCTTCTTCCATTCTCTCCTGTTCACTTGGAACTCACATAACAGCATTGCTAAGCCATTTCAAAATCTTGGGTAAGAAAGTTTGGTATCTGCACCTGTAACTCTCATTGCTTTCACTATTTCCAGCTTCTTCTTATGCCAAGTTTAGATCCCCTATTTAACTCACATGCATCTTCAGATGAAGAGGCCTTTATTTTCAGTAAAGCTTCAAAAACTCGCACCATCAGATAATCCACACAAAACTCAAAGAAATGATGTTTGGGGATTGAGGAAGCAGCTAACAGGAACACAAGGAATGAGGACATTAAGACAGGAATAAATAATGGGGAATCAGACATGAAGCTTCTCTTTGGTTACTACTTGTGCTTAAAAGCTGCCCAGCTGGTGAATTTTAGGTTAGAGATTTTTCCTGCCTGAGACAAAATTATGTACCACACATCAAAACACACAACATATTCCGGCACTGTTATCTCTGTATCTGTCTATTCCTCCATTTCATACATCCTTAAACTCCAAAACTGTATCTTTCCCCACCTTTCTAGGGCCCCTCTAACAGTGATTTGTCTGTGAACAGCTTTACACCCATCTTGTTTCTCAGCCCTTCTCTCTCTCTGGTCTTGGTAAGAGGATGATCAACACTTTTCAAAAGCTGCAGTGTTCCCCCAGCCTCCTCTTCCTACGACAACAAATGGTTATCTCTACCCAGGATTCCAGTGGAAAAGCAAAGCACATTTTCCTGCATGATGTGCTGTCCTTGCATGGAGAAGGCACTTGATTGAGATGCAAAGTACCTTCCCCTTTTTCCCCTCCCTCCCAAATTTGCTAAAGGGTTGCAGCTGTCTCAGCGGAAATGAATCACAGTGGGTTAATACTCATTAGGAACATTGAAATCACAGAATATCCTGAGCTGGAAGGGTCCCACGAGGATCGTTGAAGTCCAGTTCCTGGCCCTGCAAGGGATAATCACAAGAATACCAATCCTGTTAACCTAAACCATAAGAGCATGGCAGCAGTGGGACTCTGTCTTCCCAGCTTCTAACTGTGTATGCATAAGTTTCACTGTGTTATTGTCCTGAGCCCTCCAAGCTCTCCTTGCTGCAGCAACTGCTAAATTCTGGGTCTGTAATGGAGAGCGCTTCCTGTCCTAGAGCACAGCTGGCTGCTGCTGTGGGAAGCTGCTGCTGGGACCCGCAGGACCGAGCGAGGCTCCCTGTGCCCAGCTCAGCTGCCGCAGCTACCTCTGCTGGCAGGAGGCTGCAGCGGGGCCTCTGCTCCCCCGACACGCTCAGGCACCTCGAACGCCTCAATCTGACCAGGGACAAGCATTACAATTCCATTTTTGCATATTTGTCTTCCCGATATTCGACCTTTTCAGCAGAATGTATGGCCACACTGGTCCCCCACCCTTGTCACTAGGGTTAGAAAGTCTTTAAACCAGCACAGATTCTGCTGTAACACTTTGAGGAAAGCACCCGCATTTCCCACAGTTGCAATCAATTCTGCTGCTCTGAGTTAGCAGGGGAATCATATTGCAGTAGTGGCTTCAGGGAAGATGAGAACTGCTACAAGCAGGTTCGATAGCATTCTATCACCTTCCCCAAATTCTCCCAATCAGCCAATGTTCTTGGTGAGTAAAGAACAATCTCATTGTTCAAAACCAGAACAGTGGAAGGATATTTTCCCTCTATGCTGCAACATAACCTAAAAATATTGATTTTAGAGCAGTTGTCACTGAATGTAACTGCTCTAAAATTTCGGAGTCTTTGTAGCATCCAGCAGAGTCTGAATACAGAGATGTTCTGTCACAGCTGCTTCCTCCGCTACTCAAGCAGGTGATAGCTTGAAAAGGAGTTTGCATTTATGTTGTCCATCCTTAAACTAGCATGTAGCTAAGTGGAAGTTTTCAGTCATTTTATACGCTCAAAAATGAACAATATATCCCCCAAAGGATTTCTACGGACTACAAAAGTTAATTCAAAATACTACTCTAACACATGGATCACTAAATGCTGGTTTTCAGTGCTCTGTAGGAGTGGCATAAAAACTTTAGTCTGTATGGTCAGGGTTTAATGGGATTTTTAGTTTAATAATTAAAAACCAGACACAACCATAGCAAACTCCTGAAGAAAACCTGGTTTAAGTATCCTAGTGCTCACACAATTATGACAGTAATAAAATCACATTCTAAGGGAGGCTAGGCAAAACCACTTGCTACAGAAGCAGACAGAAGAGTAGAAACTTGTGACATACCTTTATATGCACAGATTTTTAAAAAAGAAAAAAGAAGTTAAAGTGCTATGTACAAGTGTCATATATTATATACAAAAGGTACTATGTAGGCACTAGAGCCTGGAAGGTATGGCATGAAAGGAGATGGTCACAGTGAGGAGGTGAATGCAACAAGAACAGCCCCTGCAAAGAGAAACAACTTTCCCGTGTCTGGAGCTCAGCCAGCCAACCACTGCTGCAGATGTGCAACAGCACAATGGCCATTTTAGCCAGGGCAGAAGGGAATGCTGAAGGACGCAAAGCCCAGAGTGCACATCAACAGGAAATGTGGATTAAATATTCCATAAAAAAAATCCTTTCAAAACAAACTTCTTGAAGATCTGCTTTTCAAAAGCCTGTATTTAATTTTATGAAAGGGTTTATAAACCAGCAACTAAAAAAAAAAAAAAAAGTCCAAAAGAAAAAGTTAAAGGCAAATCCAAGCATAAAACAGCAATTTTACCTGTCATATTTTTATCTTTGTCATTGTAAATGACCCACATAACCTAGAGTTTCCTGAGCCACCTCAGCTAATACCTGATTAAGAAATTTATCACATGCTTCCTGGTATTTTAATGCACAGTTTCTGATCTTTGTCCCTATATTAAAATTAAGTCCATGCAGACCACAGCCTCCTTTGCCACCTGAAAATCCCCAAGGTCATGTCCCAGCCAGCCCTCCACCTTCCCCGATTGCTGAAAGAGTGACGGCACTACCGCTCTCTTTGGGCTCTGTTGGCAAAGCGAGGCTTGTCCCGACACGCGGTCCTAACGCACGCGGGAGCTGTACCAGGAAGGGAAGAAGCAGATATTCCAGCTCTGCCTGTCAAGTCTGCATTTCAAAGGTTGTGCCTGGGTGTGGGAAAGAATAAAGAGGGTCTGCCAGTCCACATGCAAAGCTCCGCACTCTGCTGCCCCAACTGCCAGGCTGTCGCTCAGGACCAGAGCACATCCCCACCCATCCCTCCCCTCTGAGTTAATACCAGTTGTGCTCAGTGGCACAAGCTCCATTTCTTCCCATCTATCTAACAAACTGCACACATCCTTTAAAATACATATTTTAAAAAACTGAATGCCCAGTGCCCCAAGACAGAGAGCATCCAAAACAGGCAAGGCTACTGCCTTGAGGAAAGAGCTTGAGGAACAGCTAGTGCAGCTTCTTAGTTACAAAATAATAAAATGCTTTTGGTTGAAAAAAAAACTTTAAGATCACCTAGTTCAAATTTCACTGCCATGGGCAGAGACACCTTCCACTACGCCAAGCTGATAAGAGCCCCATCAGGTCTGGCCTTGAACTCTTCCAGGATGGATGACAGGTATTAATTTGTGGGGTCTTCTCCATGGACAGAGATTTAATGCTAGAGCCTATTTTCATGCAGATGGGTGGTTTCCCTAGCCCAAAATCACACTACTGCTGTTCCCAAGTGGAATGTTACATATTCCCAAACCTCCTTCACCAGCTGCAACGGGCACATCTCTGATTCACAGCCATGACTCAGGTTTTAAGCAGGGAATGACTTGTGGGTGTACATCTCTTCAATTTGTGGCTGCAGTAAGGCTTAGATACACCATTACCAGTACACTAAATCATGTGCCAGCAGACACACACTTGGGGGAAGGGAGAATTTCACTTGGAATCCCTGAGACAAGGCTACAGATGAGGCTTTCCTTTTGAAGAAAAAGATGACTCCTTTTCATGACTTCAGATGGCAGTCAGGCAGAACATATGGGCGAACCCATAAACGTAGTTTTGAAAGCCCAATTTCCAAGTCTTTTTAAGTTGCCAGATGGTGAAATGACCCCTAAACTTAAATGTTCAAATATTAATTACTGCTATCTAGATTACTAGCTCTCACTTAAGTCTATTATGAACATCAACCAGCACAGAGGAGGCAGATTGCATACAGAATTCTGGCCACTGCCACTTTCCTTCCGCACCGGGAAGCAGATGGCTCTTTAGTTACCAACCCACTGATGGGAACCCACTCTCCCAGCCCCAGCTCCCACAGGAATATATTAATGACTAAATGACAGATCCCTTGTTTAAATTATTGTTTTCTAGTGCCTAGAATATTGGAATGAAAAACACACAAAAATCCATGGGAAGTAGATAAGAGCTCACTCTTTTTGATTTACCTTCATGCCAGTTTAAGTTTGTACATATTCGAGCAAGGTGACAGGCCTTGCTTGCCTTATTAAGACTGGGGCACTCTTCTGGTCAAGGAAAGAATGAGAACAGACTCAAAAAGGCTGAGTCTCACATTTCTTGAATGCCCACTGGCATCACTGCTTGTGCATCTCTTCAAAAGAGAACAAACCCTGAAGAGAGCATGTGATGTGCTGGATTCTGTGTACTACATCAACTTCTAAAGTGTAAGGATCAGCAGATCATTCATACCCTGATACTGATAGCTTCCTCTTGATCAGCTCCAGGCAGCACCTCACTCATTTATCTCACTGCTCTGAAGGAGCCAAATGCTTGGCATTTCTTAAAACAAATCTCATAAAACATCCCAAACTGGTTCAAATATACAGATGAGTACACGGTATCATGAGTTGCAGATTTTTTTTTTTATTCTCTCAAACTCAGGTTTTGATAATCACAAATTCTATTAAGCTGGTGATTGGAAAGAAGAAATGAAAATGGACCCATGAGTAGAGTTTTTAAGAAAACAGACCAAGTACATCTTATGAAACTCAACTGAAACTTCAATATAATGTGAAATACTATCAGAGAAGTACTGCACTTTTTATTATATATTCCTAGGTTATAGATTATATAACCAATATTAAAAGACAGGCAACAGTAATCTGCCAAGTTTCAAGACTGCCTTCAAACCACTCCTCTTTACTAACTGTTGACAGCAACAGTGCTACTGTTCTCAGCTGCTGGAAAAAGCCAGTTTGACACACATCAGAACCACCAGCTTCCACCAAAAGGTGATAATTACAGAGTTTGCCGTTCAGTGACTATGTTAAGAACAAGGCCTCTTTCCTCTCTTTCAGGTGAGAAGATGCCAAACAATCTCCTTATGTATCCATTGCTCCTGTAAACACCAAAATATCATATGTTTGGCTGGTTTTCAGTCAGACTGAAAAGAACTGATGCCTTGGCTATACAGACAGGTGGCAAATATTTTGTCTTACAATACTTTCAGTAGTCCTAAAATACATGATTTTCTGTTCAAACAGAAGTATACAGTATACAGTATACAACTGCATCAAAGATTTGGAGAGCAAATTTTACAGAACAGCAGTGTGTTATTTTATTTATCTCAGTGGAAGAGCGGAAGGAAGGACACACAAAGCTAGTATAGCCCTCCTCTGTAAAATGTCAGAGACTTCCAGCTAGTCCAGAAGGTCTGGACAAGGGTTCACATCCACCAAGTCTGCCAGTGGTTCAGGTGTACTTTGTACCTGATACTGTAACAGACTAGTAATGCATGTATCCAGCACTGTCCCCAGCTGAGGAGGAACTTATGATGGTGTTAGTGCCAGCTGCTTGTTACTCCAGCCAAAACAACCAAACAAGTGAGTATTTCAGTTTTGCTTAAATCACCAGTCAGCTTTAAATCACAGGGGTCCTAAAAGTAATTCCCTAAATTA